ATTCAAACAGGAGTCTTTGCCAATCTTCAATGATTACACGAACTTTTTTCAACGCTGTATGGGCATGCGTGTCCGAGGTGTGGCGGCTCACCATCGCTCTACCACATTGCGTGGGGAGTGCCTAAATCGACCACCAAATTTAGATACCTTTTTAGGTCAGTACAAGCTTTCTAATACTTTTCAGCAATGGGAAGCACAGCTGGCCAGCTCTGACCCAGAGGTGAAGCTTGCACTTCTGCGTCACGTCAGGCAGGTGGCAGCAGCCAGTGGAGCCCTGGACTTGAGGCCCCACCCATCAAGCTCATGACCCCTGTCCCAAACCTTTAGAAATAAAGTTTTCCTTTCCTTCCTTCCTTCCTTCCTTCCTTCCTTCCTTCCTTCCTTCCTTCCTTCCTTCATGCCTTCCTTCCTTCCTTCCGTCCTTCCTTCCTTGCTATCTATCTATCTATCTATCTATCTATCTATTCAACTGTCTGTCTGTCTATTTGTCTGTCTGTCTGTCTGTCTGTCTGTCTGTCTGTCTGTCTGTCTGTCTGTGTCTGTCTGTCTGTCTGTCTAACCGACTATGTCAGGATGCTCTCGTGATCACTGCCTTAAATTAGTGTAAACCAAAATTAGTATAGGAGGGTAACATGGTTTGACTAATATGACTTGCTGGTCATGACAGGACTATTGTCACCATCTCGTCACGTATATGTCATCAAAAACTTTCTGCCGGACAGTGGCACACACCTGCGAACGGGTATGTGCCACTATTGATTCACAATTCATATTACCCAGGAATGGTGAGAACACACGTGGGCAATTTTAAAAAGTGAGCGTGAAGAGAAAACTGACAGTGGCATTGTTAAGCCGAAGAATGCAAAGAAAAAATGCCCGAGTCCCAGAAGGAATCCTGATAAGGGGGGTTTAACACCCACCGTATGATTATAAGAGGTGCCGCAGTGAAGGGCTCTGAAAATTTCGACTGCTTTGGGTTCTTTAATGTGCACACAAATCTGAGGAAGGGGGCCTACAGCATTTCTGCTTCCATATAAAATGCAGCCGCTGCAGCCGGGATTCGATATCGCAACCTGCGGGTCAGCAGCCGAGTACATATCTTAGCCACTAGACCACCACGGCGGGGCCCAGAAGGAATCGAACCCCAGAATTTTGCGTGGCAACCAAGTATTCTACCACAAAGATACACCAGGTCTCGCAACTGCTTTTCAAATAGACCGTAATGTCCACGAAGCAACAATTCGGGATGCAGTGATCGCTATCTAATTTTACAAAGATTGCTTATGTACTCCTATGATGTAGCCGTCATGTTGGGATAACATGAACTCTAGTTAGGCGCAAGGTACTGAAGCTGATTGATAATTTATATCAACCAAGGAACGGCAAGAACAGACATTGGTAATTTTGATTCAAGAGCATTCCAAAAAATTAACGCAATTTCACGATTTAATGACGACGACTGGGCGAAGCTATAGGTGCTGAGGTCCATAATGTCTCCGTTGAAGTCACTGTTTAGTACAAAGGATGGACAGATTACGGAATGATGCATGGAGGGATGGTAGGATGGAAAGATCGATAGACGGATAGATGGACGTGTGAATGGATGGACTGAAGGACAGGTGCATGGATGGACGGACAAACTGAAAGCACGGGTATCATATATTACGCCGTCGTATAGCTGATTACATATTAATTCGGTAGTTTCCACATGTGTTTTTGTATTTGTTGTGCAGGTGTTTAGTTACTGCATAAGTTTTGTGGGGCGTCGCCGCCACAAGGTCGGCGCATAGGAGCTTCGTCTCTAAAAGCTGGCATTGGCATACAGCGTTGACCCAACGTACGTGTAGAGTAAATATTGTGGTCCCAGCAGGAATCGAACTGCAATTTTATAAAGAATACATACGAACTCCTATATTACACCTGTCACTTCAGGTTAATGACAATTGTAGTGAAGCCCTATCCACTGAAGCTCATTTATCTATCAGTATCCAGAGCCGCCATCCTCAGTGGCACAAGCGCTAAGAATCAAGTTACCGTTTCTCGTGTTAATAATACTCATATTGCTGTTGGCATCGTTGTACAAAAGTAAACATGCTAATGTTCAACATATGTCTAAGCGTACAATATTTGTATGTATCTGTAGTGTCAATTGGTAAAATTTCACTCAATGAAAAATTAGAACACAGTACTCTTCCTCCCATATACTTCGCATAACATCGATTCCCAAGGTACGTGGGATCTCCCAATTTTTTAATTATTTTTATATTTGCGTCTTTCTCAGTTTTTCGGACAGGGACAGTGATGATTTCTTCAGTCAGCAACCGACGAAGAAAACGCTGACATTAGAATTTTTCTAAAACGAGCTTTTCAACGCTGTTGCCTTAAAATGGCACAACAGAAACAAAGCATGTGTATTTGAGGTATTTTGCTTCAGCAGCACATGAGCAGAAGCGACTTAAGAGCTGCTGCAATAGCCGATCCCTCCTAGCAAATGCTGTTTCAGCAATCTAAGGTGCGGGGCTTTGTAAGAGACGACGCTCTCATGTCGATAATAGAATATGAACTGGTCTTTGTAGATGTCTTTAACACCCTAGCTTGTTAATTTTATAATACTCTTCTATAAGTGTAGTAGGATATATGTAGAAGGATATATGTTTTATTGTAGGTCCTCCAATCGAAATGTCGGCCAGCCAGTCTGAGGCACTTCACCTGTTCATCTTACGATTATCCCACTGTGTTGTTTCCATCTGTCAGCTCCCATCAAGAATTTGGCCTTCTATAAGTAAAAATTTATCTGCGTGAGGCGTGCTTGAAACAGACAATGCACCGGGTCATGAAGGCAGGTGACAGTGACCAGAGAAGCAAGCAACTAAGCAAGCGGTTTCGTCCCTGCTGAGGGCAAGTTGTCTTTTTGTGCAACCTTTATGTCATACTTCCAACAAATAACGTCTCTCATACTTTGGTCGGTCTAACTGTCTGTTAGATTATTGTCGCTAATGTTGCACCTCAAAAAACTGAGTTCTTAAATTCCCATTTTTTTCCTTCTATTATAGCGAAGATTTGTTCTTGTAGACTTCGAGGGAAGCTTTTCAGGCAGCTACCAGCTCGTAGCAAGAGCTTGTGCTACGCCAAGCTAGCAAACAAAAGAGCTACCTAGATTCACTGTCATGGCTACGAGTGGCACTGACCAACACTGCCAAGTTCAAATGTACAGATATATCTGATAAAATGTTTGGGTGGATGACCACCACCGTATAGCTCAATTGGTAGAATATCAGACGCATTATTTGCAGGCTGTAAGCTCACTTCCTGCCGCAGCAAGTTTTTTCTTCGTCCACCTAATTTCTTCAAATTTATACAAGTAGTACCAGTAACGTCCACTGTACACTTTCTAAGAACCCCATGGAAAACACTCAGGCGTGACGCCTCATGGTGTCATATAAATTAAGCTCACGAGTGCAATTAAATTGCACTCGTGAGCTTGCATACCAGGTGGCTTACACTTGACATGCAGAAGTACTCGATCCTTTTCTAGAACACTTTAGTATAAATGTCAGCGTTTCTGTCACTTGAACTTAGACACTTTAAATTCTGTCTCACAGCATTGGCGTGTACGTGCACACATACATACATGCATACATACATACATACATACATACATACATACATACATACATACATACATACATTTGTCGCCGTATTCTGAGGTTATCACAAAATTGTCACCTTGGGTGTGCGCTCATTAGCTATAGAGCAAAACAAGAAGTTGATGGTGCCATTTATATGATTTCTGGTGGCATTAATCTTGTGTTGCACTCATGGCCGAGAAGGCATAGAACGTTTATAGGACGTTGCGTTTCCAAGCTCGAGAGCACGGGCTTGATTCCCGCCAATGGCTGCCGCATTTCAGCGGCGGTAAAATTTAAACAACATTTGTATGCTTAGATTTAGGCGCACGAAATTGATATATGGTATTTTTCGCATGGAAATGCTACCAATTATTAGTATTATTAACAATTTTGCACCATGGCGCTTTACAGCGCTCCTGCCATGCCTCAGGCATGCTAGGAGCTGCAAACGTCTAGTAGAAAAGTGTGCTAAAAAAGTCTTGCATTTTAGACGCGAGTCTATCAATGGACGTTGCTAAAGTATACCAAAACATCCAGCAGCAGACGTTGGTTTCCCAACTGTGCCTTGGTGGAAGGTGAATGCTTCACCAATTCGCTCACCAATTGCACAGCAGGCATCTTCAAGTGCCTGCTAAATAGCACATTCACTGTATAGCACTTCCAAATGCTATACAGGGAGTGTATCATGCTGCCGAGCTTTCTTTCCTTTTTCAGGAGGGCTACCAGCAGTATTGTAATGAAAATGATATTATTAGGTTTGCAACTTGAACTAACGTAGTCTGAGTTGGCGTTTCTTGTTCTGTTTTGGAATCACACAGTGAATGATCAAAACAATGGAACCACTTTTACGTCATGCTGACAACGTTTATAGGCATCACTATTTATAGTAAAAACTCAGATAGAGAAAATATATATGAGAAGTGGTTAATTAGAGTCATTGCCCCATAGAGAAAGTATCTTTATTTTTAGGGTGGCCCCCTCAGTATGTTTTTTTCCCCCTTAGTGAGGTATATAATAGCAATGTTGAATAATAACATCCACAGAACGTCATTGACACTGACCAAATGCTTTTAAATATATACTGAAAATGAAACCGAGAGAGCAGAATATCAATTTTTTTTCTATGAAGAGGAAAGGGTTCGCCATGTACATGCAGCCGAACTTATCTCAACCACCAATGTAGAATGTTTTGCCTCCAGCATTCATATTTGCAATGAAAGATTTTACCACCACATATCCTAACTGACCTGGTAAGGCAAGTCTGAAGCTTCACGATTAAATTATTATGCAACACAAAAGAGTTTTGCACAGTTTGGCAATCAACATGTTCAATGCGCGTAACCACATATGTATGTATGGGCTGTGACTTACTCGTAATAACATTATGGCGAATCAGTAGCGGTTCTCCATCAGTGAAGTTGGTCACCTCCACATCCGCATCGACAATAGGCTCGCCCGAAATGCTGTCGGTGACCAAGCCTTTGATTCCAATGTGTGCCTGCAATGCAGTATCATAGAGTATTCCAAGCACCTGTGATGGTAGCGCCTATTTTACTTGATTTATATACTTATAGTACACTCACAGAATGAAAAGCTGTGACACAGTAGTATGCAGCATTCAAGATTTAAAGAGCACAAGATGACAAATCCCTTCTAACAGCTCTAGAGGTCTAGTGACTATGGTGCTTGATTTTAGACCAGAAGAACGCAGGATGGAATCCCGGTTGAGCCGATGGGTAAAAAATAAAACCCCTCATGTGCCTCTGCTCTGAGCATTGGTGTTCTAACTTGGCTGTGCCTAAATTGTTATCATCAATTGTCAGATAATGAAGGCCTGGACAGTAGAAGGAGGCTCACGTATACTTTCCACACACATCTCTAGTGTATGTTTGAACAGCTTGTTAATTTTGATTATGTTGAGCTCAGAAGAAAAGATTGTTTCTGTGCAGTCATCTCATTTTATCTGTATACCATGCCATGTACGGATCTTGTTTATAAAATTACCAAACCATATGAATCAGTTTTATTAGTATAGGGCTGTTAGAGTAGTGCACCTTCGTGTGGCTGTCACATAGCTTTCGATCATTTTATCAGCTGTTGTAGCTTAGCGCCTGTGCTGTTGTGCTGCTAAGCGTGAAGGCACATGGTTCATTACTTTGCACAGTGACAGCATTTCATTGCAGGTGTACTACAAGACGAACACTCATGTACAGTTTCAATCACATCTGAGGTGAACTCTTCATTAGTATAAAAGACGTTCGAACAAAAACATTTATTCAGCATTACAACAGAAATGTCCATTATATAGCGTCTAATCATCCTGTTTGTAAACACAGTAATAATTTTTCAAAATACGTAATAAACATCAGAATCTATGATGTCTTCAGAATACCAATGAGGTGTTAACCTTAGATGTGGAAGAGCCTTCACTTATAGGTTTAGAGGTACAAACAAAGAAAACCTGGGTGATCAAAATCAATCTTGAATACCCTACTGCGACTTGCCTCATAATCACATCACAGTTTCGGTGCGGCATCTCACTGCAAAAGGTGCATATTTAAGTTGGCCGCACGTATACCTGCCAGAGAAAGTTGAGTAGCGCCTGTTTGTTGTCCTCCCACTCTTTCTGCAGCTCAGATTCCGGCGGGAACTTGCGGCAGCCGAGCTCTACTGTGATCTCGAAATCGTTTGAGCCCAAGTAATTGAAGTCTTGCATGCCTGCGAGGAACGCACCAAAAATATGTGACTGTGGTGCAAACATGGTGTGAAAAAACAAAACAGTCACCGGGCAAATGTTGCTTACCAAAACCACATTTTTTCCAGCGTGTTAAAGGAGAGTAACAGTTCACTTCAAGTTTTTTTCACGTTTTGTAAACATGTACCAAGAGCAAAGAAAGCTGTTCACCATGCTTGACATGCGAGCGACTAAGCGGAGGGGCACGCGGCGATCGATCGGCACCAGGATACGCAGACAAGGCATTGGTTCACACGCACCGCTTTTATTTATTATTTATTTCTATTTATTTCAATACCCTCAGGGCCCGAGGGCATCACAGAGGGGAGTGGGTTACACAACATAATGAAAGAGTGGAAAATTGGTGGTTACATGGATCAGTGAAGGAAACCAACAAGAAATATTGCACTATATAAGAACAAAAACAGGTAATAAAGAACTACAAAGCTTAACAGGTCTACTGAAAAATGGAAATACTATATTTCTAAAAATTATGGCGACAGGTTAGTTATAGCAGCCTTAAACATAGAGGTATTAGACGTCTCGACTACAGATCGGGGAAGGTGATTCCAACTTGCTGATGTACGGGGGATGAATGAATTGTAAAAATGGTTGGTGTGGCATGTGGGAATGCCAACCTTATGACGATGGTCGATGCGAGCGGATACGTAAGAAGAAGGGGTTATCAATTTATTCCTAAGGACTGAATTGTGGTAATATATCTTGTGAAACAGGCAGAGACGATATATTTCCCTACGTTGTGAGAGCAGAGGTAAGGATAAAGTTGTTTTCATGGAAGTGGCGCTAGAGGGCGATGATAGTTGGAAAGAATGAAACAAGCACCCCGACTCTGGATGGATTCAAGCTGATGGATGAGTGTTTCTTGGCTGGGGTCCCACACAGATGCAGCATATTTCATTTTGAAATGTACTAATGATTTATACAGAAGTAATTTTACTGCAAAGGAAGAAAGATGAAAATTACGGCATATAAAGCCCAGCGTACGATTAGCATTATTGGTTACATGTGTTACATGCATCTTCCAGGAAAGATCAGAAGTGATGAGTACGCCTAGATATTTGTAACAACACAGGTTCTAGGTTAGTATTATCAAGATGATAAGAGGGCAATGTTGCATCGCGACGTGAAACGCGCATGTGCTTGCATTTGTTAGTGTTTAACTCCATGTTCCATGAGTTAGTCCAGTCACGAACACGGTTTATATCTGATTGAAGAAGATAGATGTCAGAGTCGCTGTTAATAACACAGTATATAACACAGTCGTCAGTGAACAGGTTTATTGATGAACATAGATTATCAGGTAAGTTGTTTATGTAGATGAGGAAAAGCAAAGGCCCCAGCACAGAGCCTTGAGGCACGCCCGATTCAACTGCAGAAGTGATGGATGAGGCGTTATTCACAGTGACAAATCGGGAACGATCAGTGAGAAAAGAGTGAAGCCATTAAAGAACGTTCAGATCAATTTTAAGTTTGCTGAGTTTTAAAAGAAGCAGTTGATGAGAAACCTTGTCAAACGCCTTTGAGAAGTCTAGGAATATGCAGTCGACAATGGAATCCCTGTCAAGAATGGAATTTAGGTCATGTGTGAATGTCAAAAGTTGTGTTTCACATGAAAATGACTAGCAAAATCCATGCTGGTGATCTGTAAAAAAGGAGTTTGACTGTAGAAAAGATTCGAGATGAGAGCAAACAACATGTTCCATAACCTTACATGAAATACATGTGAGTGAGATTGGTCGATAACTATATGGAGAATGCCTATCCCCAGACTTGTGCATGGGAATCACCTTCCCTACCTTCCAGTCTTCCCGAATGCAACCGGTATGAAGCGATTGCTGAAATATATTAGTGAGAATGATGGCACTGTACACTTTAGTACTAATTAAAAACTTTGAATTGATGCCATCAACACCACATGATGATGAAACTTTTAGATTTTTTTATGATTTTTTCTATACCGGCAGCATCAAAGACAATCGGGTCCATTGTTAAGAAATTCAAACTAGCATATGTGGGAGTTACGGAACACACATTTTGTGAAAAAGCAGAAACAAATACAGAGTTTAAAACATTTGCAGATTCATCAAGTTTGATTATGCGATTGTTTGCATCTTTAAGGGTGATTGAGGAATTGTCTCTTTTGTTGACTACATTCCAAAATTGCTTAGGGTTAGTAATTAAAAGAGATGGTAATATAGTATTGAAAAATGAATCCTTAGCATCTTTTAGGGCTTGTTTGTATTCCGTAGCTACGGCCTGATAATCACTGCAACCTTCTTGAGTGCCTTTGCAGAGCTGAAATGCATTTTTTCATATTGCGTAGTCGTTTAAGCGATTGACTGAACCATGGTGATAGCAGGTTAGATGTGATGACTATGCGTGGCACATATTTTTCTATGAGTGATAGAACCTTGCCTTTGAATAAAGTCCAGTTAGTATTAATGGAGCAATCATAAAAGTTGTGCATGTAATCACTTAAAAAAGCTGAAAGATCATAATCAATAGCATCAAAATCTGCACGCTTATAGTCCCGGATATATTTTTTGTGGTTCCCACAGTGAAGTACTGTGCAGGTGAAAGAAAAATGAAGCAGCAAGTGGTCGCTTAGCCCCTGCAAGTAGAATATGGAATGGAAAGAGCATCAGCAATGCGCAGTAATGGTTATAGAAAGCTAACGTTGGTAGAAAGCGCCCGTCGGCCGCGAGTTTACTTTCTCCGAATGTGTTTGTTTTGGTGCGCTATACATTTGCGGGTTTGAACCTCTGTCTACTTCGATACTCGTTTTTTACTTCTCTAAACCTTGGTAATGTAAATGTGTACAGTGTATCAGACTCCAATTATACAACTTCAGTACCATTTATTTTTTTCCAGCTTTCTCTTTACCATGCAGATCTTCTTAGAAACTCATTGGCCACAGTGCCGTAACCGGGAATTGGCACGTTGGGCCCATACTTCACACCCAACTGTCGAAATATTTTTTGCCAAGGCATACATAGCGCAAAATGACCATTTGCCAGTCTTCTCCCACTTCAGATCAATAAGCCCCCCCCTTCCTGCTGAAATTTCGGCACCGCCGCTCTTAGCCTAAGAGGGTTTTTCGGTGCTGTCCCCCTGCCGTATCTAATTGCATCGGTGAGTGAGAGACTTCTGCGGATGGTGAGTGATGATGATAAACATGCATGTGTTTCTGTAGAATGCAATAAAGAAAACAAATGCGTGGCCGTCATCACTTACATTCATAAAATGGCACACGGACTAAAAAATGTGGGGAACCAGTTTGGTATGGACGTTGTTTTCTTTGCACCCAATAAATTGGGCCGTATATGCGCCATGGTGCATAGGAGGGTGCAGGGCGCATCTAAAAGCGGAGGGTGTTTGCAGAAACATGCAAAACAGTTTGTTAAGTGTAATTTAGGAGTGGTGTATAGCATACCGCTAGCGGTCCCATGTACATCGGCCAAACCGGCCGATGGTTCAATGTACGCCTCAGGGAGCATTTGAGTTTCTTGAAAGGTAGTCCTTTTGTTCCTTGTAGCTTCACATTGCAATTCCTACAATTGTCAACCGTTGTTTGAGAAAACAAGTGTACTTTACCGGCATCCGCTTCAAACCACGCGCGAAATTTTTGAAGCATGTTACATTTCTAGAAATAAGAATCAATGTATCAGCCATCCGTCATTATCACTACTTGACTGTGAGTTTAACTATATAGATAATTCGTAGACAAGTGCTTCGAATAAACTTGCTTGCTGCTCACACACAACAAGCCTGCTGCTCACACTATCATCTTATTCCTGTTGACATGCGCACCCTTGTGTACCTATATGTCCTTCTAATGTGAGAATAAACCAGTTGTTAGTTGAGCGTTCATGCTGTGTGCCTCCTCTTTGCTTCGTGTCTGTGTTACTTCTGTGCTCCCAGTTCGCTGAACAATCAACAATTATCAATTAGCCCACCTTTCCATCCTATTGCAATGCATTTTCCCACATGACACGCATCTCATGATTATGATGTTTGCACCAGTCACATACCTTTGTCATCCATTGACTTCACGTAATACTAAATTTGGCATATGTGAAATTAGTGAAACGGCCGCGAGCGCATCATCAGTGTGGTATCTAGTCATGTGTTTACATGACACGCACGTCATGATTATCTTTTTTGGTTGTGTCATTTATCTATGACATCGTTCGTGTCATGTAATACCCAGTTTGGTCATTGTGAAGCTAGCAAAACAACCACGAGTGCCTCATGAGCTTGCATGTAGTCATGTTTTTACGTGACACGCATATCATGTTTATTATGTTTGCACCAGTAGCATACCGTCATCATCCATTAACGTCCCGTAATACCAAAATCGGTATAAGTGAAGCTAGTGAAACGGCTGCCAGTGCATCATGAGCGTGGCATGTAGTCATGTTACATGACATGCATTTCATGATTACCATGTTTGCACCAGTCACATACCTTCGTCATCCAATCACGTACTGTAAACCAAATTTGGTATATCTGACGCTAGCAAAACGGGACGCCAGCGTATCATGATCGTGACATGTAGTCATATCGTTACATGAAATGCATGTCATAATTTTAATTTTAGGGTCTGTCGCTTGTGTTCGCCATGCAATCATGCCATACCGTATCAGTTTTGCAACATGCCATGTGAACGAAACAACTGCAAGAGCTGCAGGAGCATGAAATATGAATCATTACATTTATGGCATACATGTCGTGATTTTCATGCTAAGAAGTCAAATGTGTTCTTCATGCAGTCATGTTATGCCATACCAAGTTTGCTATCAATACCATTATCAAAACGGCCAAGAGAGCTAATAGTCGTGGGTGGCTAGACAGACAGACAGACAGACAGACAGATGGACGGACGGACGGACGGACAGACAGACAGACATACAGACAGACAGACAGACAGACAGACAGACAGATAGATAGATAGATAGATAGATAGATAGATAGATAGATAGATAGATAGATAGATAGATAGATAGATAGATAGATAGATAGATACGCTAAGAAATGCTTCGCAATTAAAAATTAAACATCAAAATTGATGCGTCAGTGAATCGACAAAAAAACTTATACTACAGCATGCACTCAAAGAGAGAGAAAGAGCGAGAGAAACAGATTGTGGGATGAAATCATAAAAGAGGAGCAGGAACTCACCTCCAGCGACGGCATACCATGCAGCCCCGTTGGTGATGCCACCAGTGTCCCTAAAGGCGTCTCCGCCGCACGTCTCGCCTTTCTTCATGCGTGGGTGACTGGATGCGTACATCTGTGCCAGATGCCTGCATGCACAACAGTATGCGTATTTCTCGAAGACGATACGAAACATCATGCAAGATGTATGCACACAACACCAATTATTGTTCTCAATTTTACAATCGCATGAAATCAAATGACTATACGCACCACGCGGTTGCATGAAAGCATTCATAAGTTCAAGCCGGAACTGGAGGGTACGCTTCTGTGATGGCGAACCTCAACAGAAGTTAGGACGGGTGGGGGAGAAGAGCGGGTGTAGGCGTAGGACAGAACACTGACGCGCATTAGGGGAATAAACATAAAAATATTGTGGACTACTAATAAGAACTTGTAGTTCGGCGAGTCACTTGTCACAAGCGTCTTTCTTTCCCATGTCTCTGACAAGTCTGCCGTCTGTTGAAGCGATAAAAGTACCGTGTTAAGAATCGAAGATTAGGTCCCTGCAAACATAATAAAAGCGCTTAGCAAAGCAAAGATTACAAGTGACAGCTACTGTACGCAACGTATGGAAGAGCTTGAAATGTAAGCAAATATTGCTCGATCGATGCACGGGAAACTCCTCAAGAAGCACGTCCCGTTTAGCCCTGTATGGCTTCGCCCCTCGATTATGAACATTCTAAGGGTTCCGTTAATGCTGCGCGAGCAAGTCGCGTACACGTATAGGACACGCAGTTGTTTTGTTACAGGAACGTGGGCGCACGTGAGGGTATACGCACCTAAATGTGGCGTCATCAGGCGCTGATGTGTACTTCTTTTGCGAACCGTCAAGGGTATCATCGAAGGGGTAGTTTGCAACCAAGGCGCCACCGTGGAAATTCGCTGACAACACGAACGGCAGCGACATTATCCACTCCATGACGGCTTTCGTCTCTGGCTGCACCTAGGAATGACACAGAACATTCTGGATGAAATTATGAGACTGCATGGTATACCTGCAGCTTTGCGCTAAATTCCGCATGTGCTCGAATGCACCGGCTTTTCGGACGCGTGCGCAGACGTACCAAAGCAAATGTTTTAGACAACACGTACGTAGAAACTTACACGAAGCAATATGGCAAAACCCACCCATATAAAGTAGCTTAGATTTTTGGTTGCCGTGGCATTCCGTAATACGGAATAGCACACTTGTTTGTAGATTGTGGTTTTTTAAAATTGCCCTGATCCAACGGATGCATGCGGACTACACCTTCATATACGTTTCAAAAATCACTCTTTAATTGTATATAAAACTTCTTTCATCTTTTAAAAATTTTTATAAGTTATGGTTAGCAATAAATGTACCACATTAGTAATGATGCAGGTCCAAGATGAGCTCAATTACATTTACGTTATTTCTTCCTTCATTATTTATTATTTTTAACATTGCGTAAGTGTGGTATATAGACAGTAAAACTTCATTTGAAAGAACTTCCAGGGACTCCACGAAAAACTTTGTTAACGTGAAATTTCGATGAACTGAAATAGTTATGTTGAAACTTGTTATCAGCAGATGAAAACAAACAAAAAATACACCCAGTTGCTAAAATAAAACTTGCGCCCTTTTATTTCAAATGCTGCCCAAAGAATTTAAATTTCTGCTTTAATTTGGATGCTTTGACAAAAGTAGTAACCTTCCGCTTCACTTGTGCAACTAGGGCTGCAGTGGTCATGAATTCAGCCACTGTGCCCAAGCTCTCATGGATCATCTCTGACACAACACTCTGCTAGACCGCAAAGGGGTTCAGTTTTCCTACTGCATCAGTGCTTCTTTAGCTGAATTTGTTGGTATTGGCAGGTAGGCTGAGCCGTTCTGGACTTACGTGGTACTAAGTCAGGTGAGCGACTTCGTCGCGTCTTGATGAACCTGGTAAAAGTTGTTTTCATTCATTTACTAATTCATCTACAAATGATACTCCTTCCTTTTTCTCTTCTTCCTGAGGTAGGACCCTGACCTCAATCTTTTTTTTGTACCATGTTCCCGTCTTGCATGTCGCAACGTGAAAATCGCAGGTGAGAAAGTTCAAAAAAGATATAAATCGCTGTCCGTACCCCGTCGTTCAGACAATTTCTCATCATTATGACCTGATAATCATCGTATGAGGTCGCAAAATATGCTCGTAGATGTGAAATGCTTTCTACACTGACTTCGTTAATTTGAAAAACGTTAGCATTGAATCCAGTGGCGCTTCGGTTAGGGGCTTAAAACAGGTTCTTACAACTGAATAGTTTGTTGAACTGATGTTCGTTCAATGGGTATTTTACCGAAGACCGCGTTAGTGCTTACAAGCAGAGATTCTAGAAGTTTATCAGTTTCCACTACATAAGACACACTGGTAAATAGCCGCTATGTGGTGAGCAACAACAACAACCACAACGAACCCACAGGGATAATAATAAATATTGAATGAGTCTTGCTATATAATCTTTATATAATCTCTATATTCTTTATCGGCTCAATATGCTAACTTCTTTAGGTTTCTGTAAGCCCTATCGTGAGTTTCTTGGTGCCCATGGTCAAGACGCCGACAAAATTGTCCAGAGAACGAGCCACGCATAATCCGAGAGCGTTAAAATGCACTCATATTGCGAAAGACTGTAGATGTATCTGCATCGTTTCCCATCTTGTTTATCTCGTCCAAGAACAATATTTACAATTTGACGTAAATATTCTTCCTTCATTCTTTTATAGATGCGAGGCAGCTCTTTGACAAGTCCATGTAACGCTGTCCGCCCATGTCTCCGTGCCAACGCGCCACACCGCGTCCCCCCCTCCACAGTGTTTGGAACGATGCCAAGTAGGTCAAGTCACAGCGGCGCGTTGGCGTCACTATCTCCTTCACCCGCAGCAGCTGCCGGCTCTTCCCAACACATCTAGGTGGTGTTGCTCCTCCGCTCACTCGCACTACCAGCAACGCTCGACCGCACGTCGAGTGAAACACTCTTTCGGCTCGTTACCTCCTATAAAACTTGCACGAACCCCAACCCGCCTCCCATGTCTTCGCGTTTCAAAAACACGCTTACACGAGTAAAGGCTACACCAAGTTTCGCTTAAAACCGTTCCCAGCACCCACGTCGACGCCTGTTTCAGCCGGGTACACAGCGTGCGCACAGCTCCTGTTTCTCATCACACCATGGTTCCTTCGAGGAGATGGTTCATAATTTTATTCATTTGTCTGTCCCATGTGCAAATTTGGCCACGAGACTGTACGCACAGGCTATATGTTTTCTGAGTAGATCAGCAGTGGCTGGAAACTCGCTCCAACTGTGCGCTGGAGGGAGGAGCACATCTGCAGCGCACGGTCACCTTGTATATACGTGGTTAATTCGTATTAAATGCCGCGACGCTCACGTTTGGGCGTAGCGTGTCATTGTTGCTTTCAAATTATTAAAATAAATTGCTGCATATATAGGGAGATACGACTGCCAGCTAAAACAATCGTTCATTGGTGATTTCATATCTCAGCATGCGCATGCGCATAGCTGACGTGCAACACCAGAGATGGTTCTCGTGTATCTGAGTCTCCTTTTACCGCATGTCTCATCAATGACGTATAACTGGTCACTTTTATATAAGTACCAGTATATAATACGAAAATAGACATAGAATCAACCCGAGCGTTACAGTGCACGAAGGATAATCGATCAAACGTCAAAACGTACCTAATTGCCACAGCGTACTTAATAGTATGTAATTCATGCGTGTGTGATGGGAGAAGTGTGCGAGAGTTGCGTACGGTGGTGTTACAAAGCTGACATGGAGATAGCGCACGAAGTAGTCAGGCAGAAGCGCGGTGACAAAACGTGTGCGAAGGAGAAGACGGCGGTGGGATGCGACACGAGGCCCCGAGGAAGAGAAAAAGGGCGGGTGGAGTGGAGTGGCACGCGGTTCGAAAGGTACCCTTCGTTCGCGGAGCAAGGAGGGAGGCGGTTCGTCAGCCTCATGGTCATGGTTTCTACCAAGTGCTTGGCAGAAGTCGAGAGTCGGAGCGGCCTGCTTCGCTTGACCTCAAACGCCGACCCTTCACGAAGCAAGCGGGAAGCTACTGCAGCCATTAGGCCGAATGTTAGACGTATGGGCCCGAGTGCTTGGCTGTGGCCCTTGGTCCGCGCGTCCGAGGAGCAGACCTCTGCCCGACTTCGTTGACCCTGTCTTCGGTACCTACCTATTACCAGGGCGCATACACGGGAGCTTCACCCCACCCTTCACAAAATTCTTCCGACGACGGCATCTCCGGGCTCGTATTTGTTCAGCGTAGACGTCGTTCGCGTAAGTAGTAGCGCTCACTGGTGATACGTTTCCTTATTATTGACTAACTTGTTTATGTGACGCTTAGTGCTCTTACATATGTTGTAGAATGTTTTGTTACCGTGAGTGCGTGTTGAATTCCTTACGTTCGTGTGTTGTTTCCCTAAATGAAGGAAACAGAAAACAGCCTCGTCCTTTTTATTGAGAAGGTTACCATCATCGACGCAACGCACTTTCTTTATCTTCTTATCCGTAAGAAACCCATCACAGCGTGCGAGTCTTACCGGGTGGGTAAGTTCTCCATTGAAGAGGTGGTCTGGCTTGATCCTCCTGACGTTACTGTTTCGCAGGATGCGTTCCAAGTCGGGAAAGTCCCTGTTGAGGTCCACACCCATCGCGTTGGTACGACCGCTCACCCAGTCTTCACGTGGAGACTGCACAAAAAGCAAGGACAGCAGCAGTTCGAACAATAATTATCGCGCGCCAACTTTGTGTTGGCTTAACGATTCGCTGTCGTGTTCAGAAGTATTTCTAATGACTAATAAAGGCTTTGACTATACGAGTCAATGCACGATGTGATTATGAGGGACGTCGTAGCAGAGGAATTCGCTAATTTCGACTATTTGACAATTCTGAACGTGTACCTAAATCCGAGTCCACCGTGGCCGGGATTTTATCTCGCGACCATCAACGGTCGAAAACTATAACCACAAGATCACCGTGGTGGTCCACGGGTATTTCTCGAGCGCAATATGCGTGCCTACGCGAGCTTATAATAAATTATTTGATAAAGTATCATTCGGCCTTAGACATTTCCGTGACCTCTGACCTGAGCCTTTTATGTCATGAGTACGCAAGATTATGCAGAGCAAAAGAGGTAGGGTTATTTCCGATTCCCCTCGTTTGTTGAAAGCAGCACTTGAACCCAAGTTAGTTAAAACTTTTTCGAGCAGCAATGAAGTCACAGCTCCACAAAATCACGAAAAGCTCTACGACGCAAAAGTTACATGCAGGCACTAAACGATGCATTGTTATGCCAAACAAAACTTATATTTTTCTGAGTTGCCCGAGAGCGGGCTCACTCTGAAGGCAACTAAATATGTGTATTTCAAAGCGTTTTGCGATTTCTTTATCCGACAACTGAAAAAAAGGCATGCAAATGATCCGCTCTACTAAGAACAACACTTTCAATGCAAACACTTTTTTACACACTCAGATGCTCTCAGTGTAAAGCTTGTGCTCCATCAGGGACTGACATGTTGTTTTTTCAGCGTTGATATCAATTATCCATAAACGATCGAACCCTCCGCTCTATCTGGTGCATCACAATGAGCTCAAAGGCACCGGTTCGATTTCAGCCACGACGATATGATGACAGCATTTTTGTGGGACCGACATGCTAAAACAATCGCTTTTTTGGTGGTAGTTATGATAGATCTTTTAAGGCGATCAGCAGACGGCATATACGGTGCCGCCTCTGACGGAACGTTTTACATAGAAACCAAGCCACGCCTCTTGGCCAGCAGGTCTGTCTGTTATCTGGAAGGAGGACATGCCTGCGACTCACCTTGGCCGCCGTGTCCCAGCCATCAGGGTTCATGCTGGGCATGATGTGGATGCGTGTTGTGTTGAGTAGCGTGGTGATGTTGGGGTCTCCCTCCCGGTAGCGCTGACACAGGTACCAGCTCAGCGCCAGCATCAGCTCGCGGCCCAGCACCTCGTTGCCGTGCATGTTGGCCACATACTTGGCCTCGGGCTCCACTGCATACGCACATGTTTTTGGTTTGATCTCTTGGCCCGTGCCCTTACACAGGGACTGCTCGAGAATCAACTATAGTTAGAAATGCAATAAGTAGAGTTAAAGCGAAGAGGTTTTTGTGAATTGTGGCCTATGCAGTTCATTCTTCAGCTATTTGCGTTTTCGTACATGCATAGCTGCAATTAATAACTTGAGAGTGCACAATTGTGTGCCCTGGTTATTATTCTACGGGGTTCCTATACTATGTGAAACGGCGAGTTCCCTATACTTGAATAGTGTAAAATATTCTGTTATGCGAGAGAAATTTCTATGTGCATCATTTTGACATATCACAAGGAAATACATAAATGACGCGCAGCGAGTTATATTACAAAAAATTACGATACAAAACATCAGGAATACCAAAAAAAGAACACCTATTTTTGCATCGACAACTTCATATATTCAACGACCAACAGCTCGCTGACGTTATCCCCGGGGTTCTTATCTTTGCAAGTGTCTTGAAGGTGGCACATCTTTGAAGCAATACGCTCACGATCTTTAGTGGATGGAAACCTTGGATTTTTATTCACACCCGAAATAATTTTTTGCCCCGTCATGGTGAATTTTTGTCCCTTGTACATTAGGCACTAACCGCAGGACTCGCTTTTGATGTATACGGTTGTCTCAAGGAAGACGCTAAGACACCAATCACCGTTCACCACAGCCTCCAGCATGACCTCACTTCAGCATTCTAGGCGAGTATTTGCAAAGGCATCTCCGTGGGTGGCAGTGGAACAGTGGCCGAGACGATCAGCACTTACCCCCGCATTCTAGAACGCTCCTTCACTCAACACTCCACGTTCACTTGAGAAAGCCGATGGGAGCGCCTTCTCCAGGCAGGAAAAGTCACTGCATATCAGTGATAATTTGCTGCTATTCTTGAGTACCACAGCGTCATTTTTAACCGAGTAGCGGCGCAGTGCGCAACTCTGTCAAGTGAAGGGTGAAAGTCGAGTCGAGAAGCGTTTGTGAATACGGGGGTTGGTCAAGTGCCCTATATCTGTAATCCAAGGCTGGCTCTAGTCGATCATACTTTACTGATGTTCATAGAAGACAATGGCTATACGGGTAGGCCAAAGGCCAATAGAATTGTGTCCAGACAAGGCCGTTAGCCAGGAATTTATTTTTTCTGTTGAAAACCTTGAAAAACTTCTACTATCTTTTTATTGTCCTCGGTAAAACACTCGCCCCTTCTATGTAATTTTCTTTTTGGGGGAGGGGGGGGGGCAAGCCCCTAGCCTCCCAACCCCCGGCTACAGGCCTGCGTTCAGGCACTCGCTGGCAGCAATCTTCAGACATCCTCTTGAGCTTCCGGACTCTGTTAAAAGGCCCCTAACTAGCTGCCGCTTACCGGCCGTGGTGAAATAAAAACATTAAATGACATTTCAATGACCAAGGTTTTTCGAACATTAATCAAAACGCGTGGAGTTCGCTTATTTCTTTAGCGGAGGCATCACCGTACATGACTCTGCGCAAACCTCACTGCTAAAGCCCACAGCTATTGTAGAGGAACTCGATCATTGTACTTGTGAGAAATATACGTTATAATGTCTCCATAGATAACTGTGCTCCAACATATTGCCCCCACATCTAAGGTGCTTTACTGCATTGCTCCAAAAAGTGACCTGTTCAAAACAGCCATAAAGGCTACTTGTTGATGATCTTGTTTGTCCCCATTCTGTACTGCACACCAATTTCGCATTTAAGATCAACTATTGAAAAGCGAAGGGAAATCGCGAAGTGTGCTTCATTATGGTGAGTCAGTTAAATTCAGTGGTAGCCAATTTAATTGAGGATTTGGCGAATCGGCACATTTTCACAGTTAGTGAAAGCGATTAGCTGTCTTCGGTCATTTACAATGGCGCATGAAAACGTATAGAGTACACCATCGTGTACAATACGTCCTATAGAGCGAAGATTTCAGGGTACATAAATGAATAAAATCATAATTTTCTGAACGAACGTCAGATTACATTTTATTGCACCCAAAATAGTTATATTTATTGCCAGAAGTAGAAAAAAAGAATGGGAATTACTCAAGATGCAGCCCACTCCCCTGCTTTATTCAATATTTAACTAAGTGTCATTGAGTTTCGCAATGATGTGTGCGCACGTACGAATGCAGCATCTTGCTGACGGGGAGAGGGGAGGGCATGCAAGAATCTCCTCGATTGCGACAATGATGAGGATTTATCGTCCTAATTCTTGACATCGGATGCGTAGTATTCCGTGAGATTTTTACTTATTAAATTCGCAATTTTCTAGCTCTTCAACGAAAGGCCGTCATCTGGAGGCATCAACTCGAGGCATCGTCGTCGTCCATGTATCGGCTGAAAACCAAACGTTTCACGTTTTGGTTTTCGAACATTCGTAGCAATTAATAATGGCTAATATTATAATTTGTAATGAAACACACTTGCCTTCTTTTGAAACTAGGTACTGACAAAACAATATACTGACAATACAAATATTTCTAAACGCCTATGTTTACCCACAGATACGCTCCCAAGACGTTCTCAGAAGAGACAGCCGCATGCTTTGAAGATCACCGGTGTCAGCGACATTTTCTTCGAGTAATATTCACTGGGGGACTATGAAAAGAACAGTGCTTATTCATGATGCATCTATATTCTAAAATGTACGAAATGGTGCCGCATTCAGTGAAATTGATCACTTGTTTCCAAAGATTGATATATTACTATATTGCTTATATTTGATGCCAAAACGGCTTGTTAGAAGGTGTGCTCAGAAGTACAAATAACAATAAATAATTGCATGCATACCCACAGATGCTTCCGTTATCGGAGGCAGAACTAAGGAATTGTTCCAAATCATTAAGCCACCGTTTCGCGCACGCACGCACGCACGCACACACACACACACACACACACACACACACACACACACACACACACACACACACACATATATATATATATATATATATATATATATATATATATATTCTGTTTTTCGTGCTGCACTAACAGTGCTAAAGAAATCGATTTAACACAGAACAATTGTGCGCATATCACGCACATACTCCTTGTCCTCGGTATAGGTTCTAGGCCACACGGCACTACTTTATATGAGGGCGAGGGCGCATTGGCAGCAGCGTCGATTTATGTCCTAGTCCTTGGAGATATGAAACCACGTCGTAAACTACCTTTGCTTAACTTCGGAAACCGTATTCGAGAGCAGCATGCTAAACTTTTTATCTTCAACAACGCATGTTTTCAGCATCACAGTTTATTGGAACAGCGAATAGCGCTGAACTAGAAAATTTTAGGCGTTTCGGACACTTATGTTGTGCAAATATCTGCGCTAATGTTTTCCGATCCTTCACTGTCTGTATTGTTATGAACCAGAAACATTCAATTACTTTTTTGTAGAATACTGTAGGCTTACAATAAAATGAAACAAAGTCAGGGAACCTCTTTTTGACAGCTTGGGCTGGAAACACTTACCACGATATTCTCCCAAGGGGCGTAAATATTGGAGTGTACCAACAGACCTTTCATAGCTAGATTGAATTTTGTAACAAAGTTTCCTGCTTGTTGCTTGATTTTCGGCTCCTACTCACTACGGAAGATTGGTCATGAAACAGGCTGTTAATTTAAGAGAAACTTCGTGATTTTGAATAGAGTTAGGAACAATAGATCACCAAAATAAAAAAAAAACTAAAACTTAGGAATGACTGGTTTTTACAGAGAAATACAATAATATGTAAGCCAATGAGCGAATGAAAAGAAGTCTGCAGTAGGAAAATTTATTACGAAATAATGGTAACAGAGAATTTCTCTCTCGATAATAAATTTGCATATAGATAAGCAGACGTTCCTGTATCTGAATCCCAGAGAATAGGCCCAAATTAAAGAGATTTTGTCGCTGTAATTGACCTATTTCTTTTATTAGGGGCCAAAGAATTCACATTGGTTAGCACTTTTATAAAGCTCCTGAAAACTTACAAGGCAAATAGCTCCTGAAAGTATAACTAGGTAAATAAAAGAATAAAACATTTATTATTCTCCAAAAAAAAAACACAATACGCTATACCTGCTTGATTTGTCACTGAATTTTCCTCAGTTTTCTTCTTCTTTTCCTCGACGTATAGTGGGTTGAACCACACCACCGAGTCTCAAGCAACTGATTATTAGGCTGCACAGCTTTTGCCACGCCTTGAAGCGCGTGCATCTCATGCCGTCGTCTTTGGAACTCTGGCTTCCTGCAGGAGATGTGCTATACCTCTGTTGGCAGACTCGGACTTAAATCCGTTCCCAAAAGTCCCTCGCCACAACGATACCACCATGGTGGGAGGGTGCCCATCTCTTAACAATGAAATGCGACGTGGACGACCCGTCGTTCACCACGGCTGGCCCCTGCGACACCGGCAGATGCTCTGCACTGATCACCAGCGGATGCCTTGCACCGGTCACCGTATAGGATGCCCTGCAGTGGTCTCCATGGCCATCACGGTGTATCAGTACTTCTATTCACCGTCCTGGAGCAGCCCCCACAAGCATATCGCCACCGTCCACGGAACAATTCGGCTCTGGCTCCACATCCTAACTTCGGCTCTGGCTCCACATCCTAATGCCGCCTGGCATCAGGACTACCTCAATGCCATTCGAGAGTGATCGCAATGGAGAGTACGCCTGAGAACAACACCTCTACATACAAGATACCTATCATCGCTTATAGGGGAGTGGGCAGGGCTGCACGGCGGTGATGAGGCCGTTGTGAACACCACGCGGCGCCGGAGGTGGCGGCTCTGAGATCGCGGTGTCCTTTGCTGCCACTCGAGGCATCGTCATCGCCCATGTATCGGCTGAGCCACAAACGGTTCGCCGGTTCGCCATCGGACATAGCGGCGTAGGTGTTCCAATTACACTTGAAGCGGGCAATACTGTATTTTCAAGAAATATATATTATAATGTGTTATGGGTATACGGCTCACATA